ATAATTAGGTTTAAATGAAATAAATAAGCATTTTTCCTCCACAGAATGCTGGATAAAGTGGAAGGTCATGTTCCCTTCATCACTTTGAGCTTTATCATCCGAATTATAGAAGCCATGGGGAATGCTGCGTTCCTGACAGCTTCATTCGCCATCATCGCCAAGGAGTTCCCTAACAATGTCGCCACTATGTTTGTAAGTACTCGTAGTAGTTATTTTAACACTTCTTGCTTCTCTAAATCAGGGTGGCCCAATTGTTTTGTTTTAGAACAATTGGGCCTAATTAAAAAAAAGCATTTATTGTTTTTGTAGATATTATTTTTATCTGTAGATTTTGATTAATGAGGAAATTTTCAATAATGATCAAATTTTGAATAAGCAATAAAATTGTTGCAAAATTAAATACATATAACGTGCATACGGATTACCCAATGGTAAGCAATCAGCAGAGGAGTTACGAGTACGTTGCCGACCTTTTTGGGGGTTAAGGATTTGGAGATTTAGGGTTGGGGAAGGGGATCTGATTGTATCACGCCGGTTTTCTAAGAGGCCATGGTATAACTACAGTTGAGCAAACCCATTCGTGCCGAAGCATGCCTCTCTCACACTTAAAACTATATAATGGATTTCGAGGCCTATGATTAGTCTTATTGTTGATATCAATTTGTCAAACCCCAAGCGAATGCCGGCATTCGCGCACCTATTGCTCCTCTATTTTGTCTCGAATAACCACGATTAAAATGTTAAAGAAAATTCCAGTCTTCTTAAATTTTAATGTTAACGTTCCATATTTCATCAGACAGTACTTAAAATTACTTGTATTGCCGAGATTAGTCCCGCGGTCCGGGTCGTAATTGTTTTAAACATTGATCCCGTTTATCGGAGATAACGTGTCATTGACCTACAGCTTATTCATAAATCAAAATATACCTAATCGTTATTTATGTATAGGCCTAAAGTACCTTTTTTATTGTATATTATGTATAAGTACCGCCGTGCTCAGTGTCATTTCGTTGTTAATCCAACCGTTTTTTTGTAAGAGGAAAATCATCCAATGACTTCTCCCGCCCAGGGTAAGGCGAGAGAGAGTGTCAGACTCTTACTGACTAAAAACCCCCCGTTCCTTCTCCTGCTCTGGGCCGAGGTCGCGGTGCCTCATTGCGCTTAGGTACCCCGCAACCCCGACTTGTTAATCCAACCCTTAACGTGACGATGCTAGACAAGAGCAATAAGGAACCACGGCCTTCGTCTAAAGCAGGAGAAGGAACGGAGGTTTTTTAGTCAGCAAGAGTCTGACACTCTCTCTCGCCTAACCCGGGGCGAGAGAAGAAATTTGATGATTTTCCTCTCACATCTCGACATGAAGTGTTTTCGGAACATAATCGTTACTTAGATTTAAATAATCGTTTAATGTTTCTAAGTAAGACAGTTGCACAAATCAAATTACAATCGAATTGAATGTAATAGTTCGAAAGTATTAGAATAAAATTAATATTAGCAACAGACAAAGTAAGTTGTTCCCCAGAAAACTTTTTTATAAGCATTTTAAAATCAGCCCTTATGTCAAATATTGATTAAACTTTAATCACAAAATTGACGGTGTGTCTGGGCTGCCGCGCGATCTGTCGCGGGTTCGATTCCTGCACGAAAAAACTCTTTGTGTGATCCACAAATTGTTGTTCCGGGTCTGAAAGTCATGTGTACGTGAAATTATATGTTTGTAAAGGCACCAACGACACAGGAGAAAATCCTTATGTGGTGAAAAGTTTTTTTTTTCATTAAACATGATTTGTGTGTATTTTTTTAAAGATTATCTTTTGCTCCATTTGCAGCTACATTTTCATATCGATAACAGGGATTCTGGCAGACTATTGTTTTAATTTTTTGACAATCCAACAGTACCATGTATTACCATTTAAAAAACAAACAATCAAAATATATACCTAGTCTAGCCATAAATACTGTAACAAATAAAAAAAATATTTTTTCTATTGCAAATAACATTTTTTTTTTTATGTAATAGGTCGGCAAACGAGCAGACGGATTACCTGATGGTAAGCAATCAGCGCCGCCCATGGACACTCGCAACGGTGGAGTTACGAGTGCGTTGCCGACCTTTCAGGGATTAGGGATTTGGAGATATAGGGATTGAGAAGGGATTGGGGAAGGGGAAGGATTGGGCCTCCGGTAACCTCACTCACACGGCGAAACACAACGCAGTGGTTATTTCACGCCGGTTTTCTGTGAGGCCGTGGTATCACTCCGGTCGAGCCGACCCATTCGTGCCGAAGCATGGCTCTCCCACACTTAAATTGTGGGAGTAAAAACATTTATTACTTTTACAGTATGTAAGTTTAATATATAAATATAAAACAATTTAAAACATAAAAAGCTTATTCGAAGTGGTCTCCGTTGGCTGCAATACAGTCTTTTAAACGTTGAGGCCAGTTATCAATAGAAGCACGCACTCTTTCCATGGGAAAATTCTTCACTGCCAATCGTATGGATTGTTTTAGGGAGTCCAAATTATCATGACGCTTAGAGCAAGCCCTACTCTCTAAAACTGGCCATAAATCATAATCCAGCGGATTAAGATCGGGACTAGACGACGGCCAGTCTTCAGCTCTGATGAAGTCGGAAACGTTCGTTTCCAACCAAGACTGCGTGGACCGAGCTTTATGACCCGGCGCCGAGTCTTGCTGAAAGGACTATTATTGGTTATTGAACATGGTGTTGTTAAGGGGCTTAACTACCTTCTCAAGAATGGTATTTTGATACACTTGTGCCGATGTTTTGATACCTTTTTCGCAAAAGTATGGCTCAGTCACTCCTTCATAGCTAACACCCCACCAAACCATCACTGAAGTCGGATAATGCCCAAGTTGCACTCTGTCGACTAATTGAGAAGCTTCCTTAGAGTTTTGAGCATAAATACGGTCATTTTGTTGTAAAAATTTTCTCTTTATCACCCCACTCCATTTTAATATCGCAAAATATTGAACAATTTATTGGCGCCAAAATAAGAAAACACTATGAAAAATTATATAAAAATGACAAATTCCAAATTCAAGTGTAATATTTTGTTTATTTTTAATTGTAACAGTATTTATGGCCAGACTATGTATTTACGATATCAACTTTGTAATTTTGTCGCCTTATAAAATTAACATAGCAAAGAATTATTTACTTATATTATATAATTATATACTTATAAATAATTCTTTGACACATTCCAGGCGTCTCTGGAAACTTTCTTCGGCCTGGGTCTGATCGTGGGCCCAACTTTGGGAGGTGCTCTATACGACTTCGGAGGCTACAGCTTACCTTTCGCCGTACTGGGATCAGCTCTGTTTTGTGCAGCTGTCATGAGCTGCTTGGTGCTGCCAAAGAGCCATGATGATGAAGATCTGAAGCCTAGTGGACGTAAGTAGACAGCTATTTAGGAGGCAAATTATTATTTTGACGCAAAAACTGTTTAATGCTTTGTAATTTTAAAAAGAAAAATCTAGCTGAACCAACGAAAAATAGCATTTAATGCTAAATCTATACTAATATTATAATGCGAAAGTAACTGTCTGTCTATCTGTCTTTTCTTCTCGCATAAGCTACTGAACCAATTTCTGTGAAATTTGATACAGTATGTAGTTTAGAACTCAATAAAGAACATAAGATTTGTTTTTATACCAAAAATCTGCAGGAGGTCACTATTCCACCGCCAATGGAGAGTCGCGGGCAAAAGATCTAGATTATAAATAAATAAAAAAATATGTACTTATAAAATAAACTTGTAATAAACTAAATTTTATATTAAATTCATATTTAATGTAAAATTTTATATTCATATTTAATATAAAATTTAGTTGAGTTTAGAATTTAGAAGTTAAATGACTTCGTAGTCATTTAACTTCATAAAAATAATTTTAAGTTAAATCTTTTAATGTAATTTTTTATTTGTAAAGTTAGGTGCCAGTTACTATTTTTATTGTACAACCAATACGTGGAATATGTACTTTATTTCATAATAATAGTTAGCCTTTATTATATATCATAACATTATTATGTGCAAAACGGATAAATGTAAGTAAGTACCTACCTATATGCACGTGCAAAGTATTGTCAAACTTATTTTAGCTCTTAAGAAAATATCAGGAGTCAGGAATTCTTCTAGATAATGTTTGTGCACATTTATACATATGGATTAAGAATGATCGAAGGAAACTTGTTTAAGAACCTCTTTGCTAGTTGGTACCTCCGTATTATGGAAAACGAAATACGCATTATTAGGTACTCATCTGTATCTACTTAATCAACGTTAACTAAGTAGGATCTAATCTGGACGAATCCCATCACTTATGCACTAATTAAAAATGAAATAACATTTAAAAACATATATACTGTGGGATTGAAAAACCTGGTCCTTTTGGAGATTAGAATAATTATAAGGAGTTACCTAATCAATGTTTTTTTTTGGCAGCATCAATGATATCCCTCCTGAAGGTGCCTGGCGTGTTGCTCTCAGCACTGAGTATCATGATGACGAGTATGAGCATAGGATTCCTGCAGGCGACTCTGGAACCACATCTTCGTCAAGTAAGTATTATGAAGAAGCCATGCTTCGGTTCGACCGAAGTGAGACTGCGGCCAAACAGCAAAACTGGCGTGAAACAGCCGGTTGTTGCGTTTCGCGGAGTGATGTAACTAGAGGCCAGGCCCAATTCTTCTTCTCCTCCCCAAATCCCTTATCTGGAATCCCTAAAGAAGAAAAAAAAAGCGATCAGATGAAGTACTTGAAGGTAAATCGGCTCTGCCTATAGATACCCGCAACACCAGAGGAGTTATGAGTGCGTTGCCGGATTTGGAGTTCGGTGATTTAGGGATGATGAGAGGTAGCATTAGGCCACCGGTAACCTCACTCACGACATTGTGGTGGTCCCTCGTCGATTTTCTGTAAATACTTCAAGTTAAAACCTTTGTTCTCTAACTAACTCTTTATCTTTCCCCAGTTCCAGTTCTCATCGATGGTGTTAGGTCTAATGTTCGTGATCAACGGTGGTGTGTACGCTGTCTCGGCTCCAGGCTGGGGCTGGCTGTGTGACCATCCCGCCATCAAACAGAAATACGTCATCGCTGTAGGATGCGCTTTTGTTTCCGCTGGATTCCTCCTCATTGGACCAGCTCCATTCTTTGATATGGGAACGTAAGTAATTTTTTGAAACACGTGTAATATGACGATCTGTAACAGAATATGTAATTAAATTGAAAAATCTGAATAACAAATTAAGTGTGGGAAAGCCATGCTTCGGCACGAATGGGTCAGCTCGACCGGAGCGATACCACGGCCTCACAGAAAACCGGCGTGAAACAACCACAGCGTTGTGTTTTGCCGTGTGAGTGAGTTTACCGGAAAGGCCCAATCCTTCCCCACCCCCAATTCCTCCTCAATCCCTAAATCTCCAAATCCCTAATCCCTAAAACACCACTCATAACTCCTCCGTTACGGGTGTCCATGGGCGGCGCTGATTACTTACCATCAGGTAATCCGTCTGCTCGTTTGCCGATCTGTTACATAAAAAATAACATATACTTCTTATTGTTGTATGTTTAGGAAATATGGCAATAACCGATTCCGGTAGATTAATAACATAATCTACCAGAAAGTTCTGGTTTGAAGAAATTAGAAGGGAAGGAATATGACAACTTGGGCTACGTTATAGTTATTTATGATGACGAGTTAGCATTTTAGGTACTTGTCCTTAGGATAAGAGCATATGTGGTCTTATCGTCATTGGAGCATAGCATATACATATAAACATATATACGTAAACCTGTTTATTAATGTAGATATTTTTGTCCAAAAAAAGACAGGCCTTTTTTTGTCAGGGGAAAATCATCCAATGACTTCTCCCGCCCAGGGTAAGGCGAGAGAGAGTGTCTCTTACTGACTAAAACCCCCCCCCCCCCCCGTTCCTTCTCCTGCTCTGGGCCGAGGTCGCGGTGCCGCATTGCGCTTACCCAGCAACCCCGGCTAAGAAAAAAAAAAAAAGACAGGCCTATATTCAGTTCTTAGTTAGACGCAAATGCATACAGTATAAAATATACCTAAGTAATTTTCGGTGAAATTAAAAAGTTAACCATGAAGGTTTTATGTTTTTCTGTCTAGCTATCACAGGTATCATAGATATATGTATTTTTGTTAAACCGGCCTTGTTGAGTTGGCATAGCGCCTGGTTAAATATATCAACAAATTAACAATCTCTCACATGTCTCACATTCGAGTGCAGGCGAAAATTAAAAAAAAATGGATACATTTCATGTGCACATTGTCCATTAACAAGTAATTTATTATTTATAATAAGACTACACAAAGAAAACGAAACAATACTGCTTACTTAATAGTCCCTGGGAACTTGTCTCGAAGAGTTCACATGAGTTAATTCATCTCAAAATAATAATTGTATAGAAATATATATATTTTTTTTCATTCCAGTCAAATGTGGGCAGTGATACTTGGCTTGACTCTCCACGGGTTGGGCATGGGCAGCCAACTCGTCGCATCATTCTCTGATGCCCTAGGAACGGCTATGTAAGTAACCTGTCCTAAAATCTACACTTAAAAACCTCAAATTAAATGAACCCCAAATAAAAAAAAGGTTTGAACAGAAGTTTTGGCAGACCAAATAAAAAAATCCTCGCAAAATGTTTTCTAGTCTATGCTCATGTTAATTAAAACACACGTTATTTCATTCCATATTCAAATAAAACATTATAGGTATCCTACTAATCACGTAGGTAAGTGAGCCACCCATCTACCACATTATTATTTCGTTTGAGGTTTTTGTTATGAACAAAATCATAATGACCTTAACTTTTTGTCCTGATGACTCAAAAACCGAATACAAAAAGCAACCTTATCATTATGAAAAGAAATTCCTGTCTAATTGTGATGTAATGACCACATTTCGCTACCCAAGAAGCAAATATTTCACATTTTTCACAAAATATCCACTTAAAATTACATTTAGGTAACACCATTTTTATATATTATCTGAATATATGTAGATATAAAATGATGATTTTCAATGATTTTTCATTTAAAAATATATGTCGATATAATTTGATTAATGCATAACATTTAAGATATCCCGTTTAATGGCGAATATCTTATGTCATACGATATTAAAACCACGATTAAAACTGAGCTGATCCGATACCTAAAAAAACCTCAAAATAGTAACTAAACTATACTTAACGCAATCCAAGAATCATGACTACACGAAACGAACGTACGCACGTAGATAAGGCACGCAACTTATCTATTTATTTTTCCTCAGTGCAAGCGGTCTTCCAAACTCCATAGAAACGTATGGGCTGGTGTCAGGTATGTGGACCTCTACCTTCGCATTGGGTGCGTTTATCGGCCCCACCGTGTCTGGTCTACTGTTCGACTCCATCGGTTTCCGCAGCTCCACACTCTTCGTATTCATCCTTCATCTTATTGTGGTAAGTAAAGGCAAAATGTTCCGAGTATGGGAGAGTCAATACTCAATCCTTTATATCCCTTAAAAAACATTCTAGGATAGAAAATGGCTCTTTAATCGAGAAACCCAAACAAGTGCTATTACTTATTTCAGTAAAAAGGCAGGGAATCATTTCATATTTCCTACAAAATCATGCCTTTGACTCCTCAAGTGCAGGAAAGCTTCGAGATGGCATAGAGGGTAACGAGTTCCTTCAAATAAAACGGACCTACATAAATCAAATATTATCTTATAATCCAGACCAACATCAAGAGTTTCAATATAAATCGAACTCAAGATTTAAAATCCAAATACACTAGGTACTCTGGAGCCAGATCCCAATTTCAGAAAAAACCAAACAATCTTCAAAGTTTCCTAACAATATTCTTTCCAACCAGATGGTGATGATGCTAATGTTCACCTGGACTTGTGATCGCTCATCGAAGATGGACGTGTCTGTCTCAGCTGGAGACTTGCTACAGATCGACGGAACACTGGACGAGAGTGTGCTCATTGGAGACAAATTCCTTCCTCCTCCAAGGACTAAGAGGTAGGTTCTGATAAGATCTGGAACATTCCTTGCATGTGCATCCGGTTCCTGAGAGAAACAGGTAATTTGCCAGTGACCGTTGCGCTTGACACTCCTAAATTGGAGAAAGACACTTCACATCAAATCCTATAAGGCCTATAAGTGCCCACTGCTCAGCAATGTCCTCTTCTCAAACGGAGAAGGTTTGAGCATTAATCACGCTTGTTCAAGGCGGATTGGCGATTTCAAACTTATACTTAGAAATTATAAATCCAGTTTTCCTCACGATGTTTCCTTCACCGTTTATATGTGGTGCCTAAATAATCTTAGAAAGTACATATAACTCGGAAAAAGTCACTTTGGTACCTGCCAGGTTTCAAAACCGCACCCTCATGCATAAGAAGTTGCTTAACCTCCAGGTCACCACTACGTTCACAGACACCACTTATGGTCCTAACTCCTTCGTTGATGTTTACATCAGTATCCGTTATATTCTTTGAAAAGACCTTTCAAGTCCTGATAATGCTTGGTCTTCTGCATGTAATCTTTTCCCCGTTGTGTTAAATGTTGGTTCTTTAAGAATGTTTCCCTATTAATAGGTATATTTAAAGACTTTTCTTCCAATACTTCTACGTAGTGTAGTGTACCTTTGCATAAAATTGGTGATGGATATGGTTCTGGCTATTGCAAATAATTCCCTTATACATTTTTTTTTGCCAAAAACGAAATTTTCCATTCTGAGAAAGCGTGACGGTCATTTTTTATTTATTTATTTATCGTATGTCAAAGATGGACGAGCCGAAGCCAGGCGGAAGATCCCCTGGTAGAAAACATGGTCATCGGTGAGAATCTACAAGAGGAAAGGACTAGAAGGTAATGTGGTACCAGTGGCTTCATGTATCTGGTTAATTTTGTATCAAAAGAGATAATTACTTTATTCTTTTTATTTTACGTTTTCTGTTTATTGATGTTCTTGTGTCATTAACGTCCTGTCCTTGTTACAAGTTTCTTCTGATTGATACATTAAGACTTCTTTTTCCATTACCTATTATTCTATGTTGGTCCATGGTTCCATCGTCAACACCACAGGTCAAGACCAAAACCCTTAATTTTCTGTCATACCAACTCATCCATATACATCGGTCGTGAACGTAATTTTTATTTTAAATAAAATTTGAGGAAGGAGAATGAAACTTCAACATGTTAAATAATTGCCAGAAAAAACAGCTGTTTTCTAAAATTTTGGTAAACAATTTTCACCTAATGTTGTGCCCTACCCTTTCTCATCCGTCTACTATCGGTTCAAGTATCCACATTAGTATTTCTTACGTACTTTTTACTGATTTTTAGAAACAATTTCAAATACCCATGGATCCTTTAAAAACCTTCCAAGAAAATTCTCTTTCTAACCACAGTCTCTCTTGCAGCCGCCGCTGTGGCATCAGTGTGGAACAGTCCCGGCCTCCAGCCATGAACAGTCTCATAGCCTGCTCCAGTTACAAGAACCGTAGAAGTCCTTGGAGCCAGCGCACTCCAAGATACAGGCCTACATACGGCAGCCTCGACCACAGATACAGAGGAGCGTATAACACATAAATCTATAAAAATACTTTAAATAAGATAAGTTTATTAATTAGGATCTTTATTATTCTTTAATAATATCTTTCTTAGCATTGTATTGTGAGAAAAGAGTCCCCTGTTTGTCAAAGTCCTCCTTTCGTCGATTTTGTTTATAATTTTCATTTTTACATTTTCTCTGTAAGGTTGAAAATCAAGTGGCGTCGTTGCAAGTTAAGGTAGCTTGATATGCTGGTGTGTTAATAAAGTTTTTATTGTATTCCTGATTTTCTTTTTGGATTAAAACTGGAAAGATGTTTATTTTTTATTCAATAATAATTTTTGAAGTTTTAAGAATACCAAGTTTTAGTACTTCTTTGGTACTATTTGATGTCTGGCACCAAATAGCCAATCTTGGTCATCCTAATCCTGACGAATTTTGTAGGTTTTATGATTTTTCATACAGCTATTTACCAAATATTTACACAATTTACAAAGGATAATTATTATTGATATGACACGGCTAAATGTCTGTTGTTGTCTCAATCGTTATTTATATATAAAAAAAAAACAAAGATTTCTTTTTTGTTCGCTTAATAAAAAAAGAAACACTATTACCTACTTCATTGATTTTAATATTGATAACTTTTATGAAACATGTTAAATTAGTAATCATGATCAACGGCTTCCTCTCAGAAGTATAGGTTGATGCCGCCCGTGAATATGAGCCCCTAGCAACACTTGAAAGTGGTCAAGCTATCTCCTAAAGCAGTTGCGGAAGTAAGCCGTTAATCATGATTAATTCATTCATTCTTTTTGTTAAATTTGCTCAATTAGTAGATAGTAATTTTATTTCATATAATATTTATTGTACAATATTTAATAATTCCATTACTGAAGACAATCATTTTGAAGGTGTACCATTGATGCTTATAAATATTTTATTTCTATCTTATTATAGGCAATAGTATAATAATATAATATTAATGAGTCTAGTTTATGTTGTATATCAGTAACATTTTATTATATACGACTCGATTTATAATTTTGTAAATATGTATGATATTTTTAGTTTTATATTTTCTATAAAATAATTTTATAATTGATTTTGTTTTAATTACTTTAACCTGTGAGCGCAGATATACGCGAGACACAATGTGTTTACTATTGGATCTCATATACCGGCAGACAGGATGTTAATGTTACTTTTACATTACATTGGTCGTTCATATGAATTTAACATATTTTAACAAAGACCCAGATATCTTTGTTATACCTTATCCCTTGTAACTGCAATCTCTAACCTACTTGAATGGTGTGGGAATTAGTAGTAAAGCTACCTTTGGAAGAAGAGGCCAAGAGTCCAGCTTGGATCACTGACGGGTTCTGCTTGATAAATTCAAACTCCATCCATTGTTTTGGAGAACCGTGTTTCAGGACGAATGCGCGATCTCACGCGATCGGAGCATCATAGCAAATCGGCGAGAAACAACCATAGCGTTGTGCCATGAGTATAGTGAAAGAAACAAAGAAAGAAAGACATGAAAGCCAAGAACAAAACGAAAAATACATTTTACATTACATTTGTCAGCAGGGTTGGTGCGGTGGCTGGGCAACTGGCTGCCGCGCAACGTGTCGCGGGTTCAATTCCCGCACGGAACAACACTTTGTGAGATTCACAAATTGTTGTTTCGGGTCTGGGTGTCATGTGTATGTGACATTGTATGTTTAAACTTAAACTTGAACGCACCCACAACACAGGAGAAAATCCTAAAGGGGGGCAGTTTTTTTTTTAAACTGACCGAAAGCCCAATCCTTCTTCTTCCCAATTTTTAATTACCAAATCACAATCCTCATGAATAAATACAATTTGTCTAGATAAAAAAATATGTAGGACTTTAAATACTAAAACAACACAACGGGTGCTGGATGAATGAACTAACTAGTGACTGAAAGAATTCACTAGAGCAAATCCCTAACTACCAAAGACTGGCATTGCGCTGGCGCAACGACAATATCAGACTTTCTTAGATATTATCAGCTTGCTTATTTGTAAAAGTAGTGATTATTGATTACGTAATGAAGCATTAAAAGTACTATATTAGCAACAAGTTTGGTAACGATACAAGGAATTATAGTAATGAGTCTTCATTCCAGTTATTTATTTTACAGCACAAGCCAAAACACTTAGGAAAGTTATGAGTGTCAAGACACGAAAACATATCGACGATATAATTTATGCACTGGACAGACACTTTTTTGCCCTTAGCCTTAGCCTTCCGGCCCCGACTATGGTGGTCTATTGGTTCGGGTTTGGTTCAGGCACCGATGTTACCCTTGCTTGCCGTCCAAAGATCCACTCTTACGGTACGCAATAACACACACTGTCGTTCCCTATCACCCCAATAAGAGCTGGAGAAGTCATCTGATGATTCAACTTCCCACCCCTTCAAAAAAAGTAATTACGCCAACTATTCAATCAGATCAGGTCTTGGAATGCAATGATTTATTTCTGTCGCAATTTATTCCTTGTCTAAACTTGTCCTTACACTGCATTGATCAATTGATATTCTATTTCGGACGCTACACTAACTAGTTGTACATAAATAATTATTATGAATAATGAAAACGTGTCTGTACTAAGTATGTGGTAGTTTATTTTGAATTATTAATATACTGATATAGACAGGTACTTCTGTGACGTTGTTGATTATTTTATCGTTTTTTTTATGTAATAGGTCGGCAAACGAGCAGACGGATTACCTGATGGTAAGCAATCAGCGCCGCCCATGGGCACCCGCAATGGAGGAGTTACGAGTGCGTTGCCGACCTTTTAGGGATTAGGGATTTGGAGATTTAGGGATTGAGGAGGGATTGGGGGAGGGGAAGGAATGGGCCTCCGGTAACCTCACTCACACGGCGAAACACAACGCTGTGGTTGTTTCACGCCGGTTTTCTGTGAGGCCGTGGTATCACTCCGGTCGAGCCGACCCATTCGTGCCGAAGCATGGCTCTCCCACACGTTTGTTAAGATTATAGCAAATAACGACTTAGTCTCGAGAATTAATTGAGATTTGCTGTACTGGTTTCAAGTCGCAACGGGACTCTTATTCATGGGCAGCGTGACGTCACGCAGCTCACTACTCATGAACAGGAGACCTAGAGATAGAACGACTTCTGCATCATATATCCTGGGTCCTATCGCCGAGACACTCAGAAATATTTTCTTACAATATAAGCTTAATCTTCAACAGAATACAAACGCTACGTATATATAGAAACCACATAACTATCACTTCAGAAAAGACAATGTAAGAGCAAACACCTAACTTCAAAGTCCGTCACCCAATACTGACAACCTTCAGCGCTCACAGACTACATCTATAACAAAACCAGCAATGAAAATCATGCAAAGCGATAATCACAGGAGATGAGTAGTTCCCGTGCTTAAAGGTCAGATACCCACAGCGAAGGTGGGCAGAGGTCGAGGCTTACTTGACATGGAGTGCACTGCGCAGGCGCACAGTGTAATGTGTAATATACATAATAATAGGATAGTATCCGTGAAAGTTGTGCTTAGGTTATTTCATACAGCTAGGTAAGAATTTACGTGGATTACGAGAATTTGTAAGTGAAGACTTGAAATAAAGAAAATAATTATTTCTGCTGCAGGGAGTCCGACTGGAACTGTCAACGATGTTTAATATACATATAAAAAATATGTTGCTTGGATTTTCTCCTCTTTTTTGGGTAAAAAATAATTTTGGTGCACAAATCACCAAAAACAATTTGTGAATCACTGTAAGGGTTGTTCCGTGCGGTAAAAGAACCCGCGACACATTGAAACATATAGCAATCAATTGCCTGCCATTACGCCAATCGTACATTTAATTGAATATGAATGGCCTCTCCTTTTTGCCCCTAATCTGATGAGACCAAATTGGAAATCAGGCAAGCAGGCAGGAAATCATTATCCACTATGAAAGAAACATAAATAAATATACCTATAATATCATTCATTAAAACAATATCTAACGATTATACGACCTTCAAAACTTTGAACTTTTGACAATTTATTAGCAATCGATCGATAGAAGGATTAATCAAGCCGAAATGACATTTTACAATATACTGCCGCCTTGGTTAATGTGGTCATCAAATCACAAGGTGAACAGGCATACAGAATTCAACACAAACTCTAAATTGAAACCCGTCGTCATATAAACTGCTAAAATAAGAAACTTAAATAGCATTCATTTATGGCGTTCTCACTTTCCGCCTGACGCAGGTGTTTACCGGACACGGCAGCTTTGATTCCTGGTTCCTGTGTCGGACCGGCGGGAGGAAAGGCCCGAGTGTCGTTATTGTAAGGACCACCCAGAGGACAAGCTGGAGCATACGGTAGTGGTATGCCCTGCTTAGGCTGAGCACCGACCTCGCTCTCCACACTTTATTAGGATGGGGCCATCCTAGTTGGTAGAAGTCATTGGATGATTGCACCCTCACAAAAAAATTGCATTCCTTTATTGAAAGTAACGATTTATTCACGTGAATTAACTAAGAAAAAAATTTACTCAATTTCCCCCTTTTTTTCGCGTAGAATAGTGACTTCCTGCAGATTTTTGGGTATAAAAACTATGCTATGTCCCTACTCGAGTTCCAAATTATTTCTGTAGCAAATTTCAAAGACATCGGTTCAGTAGTTTAGGCGTGAACAAATGACAGATAGACAGACAGAGTTACTTTAGAATATAAAATATTAGTTTGGATCAGTAAGCTTCTCAATATGTGCCATTATTTATATCTTTACAAAATAATATAAAGGTACTATCCCCAAATCTCCGATAAGTGGGAATTTACATTAATGTACTCGATGACTGTGAACTGATTCGAACAAACCTTTTTTGTTCTGTTGTCTTCAAAACCTGTTTTTATCAGTTCGTCATCAGCAGCTTACGATCCTCTGAGTCATGATGATGTTTATCCTTTCCCATCATTGTGTAGCCATCTCTGTATTCTATTGTGTTTCCTTGAAATCAGCCGTTGGGTCGAAGACCGTTGTTTCTTTTCGCGAATTGTTGTAAACAATATTATGATTCTCACAGAGTAAAATATAATGGTAAAAAATAATTTAAACATAGACAGACAGCAAATTAACCTATACCAATTGACGTTTGACACTTTAAATATTTAATATTAAGCTTTAAGTATGGGAGAGCCATGCTTCGGCACGAATGGGTCGGCTCGACCGGAGTAATACCTCACAGAAAACCGGCGTTAAACAACCATGGCGTTGTATTTTGCCGCCTGAATGAGGTTACCGAAGGCCCAATCCTTCCCCTTCGCCAAATCCTAAACCTCCAAATCCCTAATCGGCAACGCACTCGTAACTCTTCTATTGTTGCGGGTGTTCATGGGCGGCGCTGATTGCTTACCGTCAGGTAATCCGTATGCTCGTTTGCCGACCTATCATATAAAAAAAAACTTATTGCAATTATGTTGGAATTC